TACATGTGCTCACTGTACTGAGAATACATGTGCAAACTGTTCTGGAAGTCATTCGTCCTTTCCTGAAGAATGTCCAATTTGGAAAAGGCAAATGGACTTTAATAAAATCAAATTTTCCCGGAACGTCCGTTTGGCAGAAGCCAAAAAGATTGTCCAATCTACTGAACACACTGAAACTTACGCCCCTGTCACCAAAACACCTGAAACGTCCTCAAAACGAACAACTTAACCAATAATGACTTCGTCAAGCTCATGTCAGGCTGACCTGACATTGGTGAATACAGATATTCCCCAGCCTATCTCTCCTGAACAGTCTACTCAGTTTCTACCGAACAGATCGTATCTCCAACAAACAACACTTCTTCTCAGTCTGACAGAAATGAAAAACAACCTGCAAAATAAAATTCAAGACAAAAACAGAAACGTCCAAATGAAATCAAACACCTAAATGATCAGATAATAACATAAAATTGTTTAACAAGTTTGGATCACTGGAGGAAATGGATGTATCTGATTACACCAATCAAAGGACACATAGCGTGTCGCCCTCACAGAAAGTGCGGGGTAGATCCCCAATCAACCCACCTAAACGACAGTCCGTTCCAAACATATAGTACAGTGGAATTGTAGAGGATTAAGGACCAATTTTATTGAGTTACAGATATTAGTCCAAGATTTTGCACCATCAGCTTTCTGTCTGCAGGAAACCTATCTGAAGCAGGCAAATATTTTAAATTTACGTTGCATATAATTCTTTTTCGACTCCTGGTGACAGGGCCACTGGAGGGTCTTCAATACTTATTAAGCAGGACGTTATCCATAGTCCTGTAACACTCACAACTACTCTCCAAGCCGTTGCAGTGAGACTTACTCTTCACGTTACCTTTACACTATGCTCTCTGTATATTCCGCCTTCTTCAACACTCCAGCAGTCTGATCTTCAAGCTCTCTATGACCAACTTCCTAAAACTTTTATTATAATGGGTGATCTCAATGACCATAACCCGATCTGGGGTGGTACAGACACTAACTCAAAAGGTAAAATGCTGGAAGATTTCATCGCCAAACATGATTTGTGTATATACAATGAGGATTCAAGCACTTATCTGCACCCTGCAACCGGCACCTACTCTTCTCTAGATTTGTCTCTTGCAGACTCTAGTCTACTTAATGAATTTGCCTGGTCAGTCCACAATGACCTCTGTTGAAGTGACCATTATCAGAAATGAATGCATCTGACTCTCCATCGTATATAAGATGGAATTTGTCCAAGGCAGACTGGTCTTTATTTCAAACTTTATGCACATCTAAACTAAGACCCGAATGTTTCAGTGATATAACTGATCCTATTCAGTTTTTTTCTGACGTTTTAAATGAAATTGCTGATGAGTGTATACTAAAGTCCTTCACATGTTCGGAAACCATGGTTTAATACCGATTGGTCCGTAAGTACCAAAACTTTCAAAGTCAGTTCAAACTTACCAGGATTTTTAAACGTAACATTCGTGTTATTTTAATTGTGGCTAACATTTCTTACAATCACCAACAGCTGAAGGGTGGAGTAAATCCAACTAGGGTCCATGCAGGTAGCAAAGGTAAGTCCCCATGGTCCCTGGTATGGTGATCTACTTTCAGGTGTTGGCGATCTATAGCCTGTTTTTATCTCGTATTGTCCAAATAGTGCTATGAGTTTTAACTTTCCATGCTAGTTTTAACTCTTATTGTGATATTCTAGTTATTTTACTGTCCTTTGTCGACAGGTTTATATAATATACACGTTTTATTTGAATGTCAAATATGTTCTCGTCACGAATATGGCTGAAATATTGCCGATGCGACGTTAAATCTTAACTCACTCGCTCACTTAATAGCGATTGTAGGCAAGCAAGGAAAACGAGGAAAAAGGCAGATAATTATTTCCGCCATCACCCAACTGTCCACAACTTAAATAAATTAAAAACTAATTGTCCAGACTTTAGTAGGAAATATACGCCGCATAAGGACCCAGAACTATCATTAAATGCCACTCCCACCAAAGTTGTAAGTGAGGCCAAATTCTTGGGTCTAATTTTCGAGTCTTATTTTACCTTCTTGCCACACATTAAATCCCTTAAAAGTAAATGCCTGAAGGCACTAGATTTGTTAAATGTTGTTTCCAATTCTAAGTGGGGAGGGGATCACACTACCCTCCTTCACTTATACAGATCATTGGTAAGATCTAAACTTGATTATGGCTCCATCGCATACTGTAGAGCCTGCAAAAGCAACTTAAAACTACTTGATTCTGTCCACCACCAAGGCCGAAGACTTTGTCTTGGGTCTTTTAGAACTTCTCCCGTTGACAGTCTCTATGTTGAGGCAGATGAGCCTTCACTTACCCAACGCCGTATAAACTTATCTTTACAATATATTACAAAACTGTATTCTAACGAGTTTAACCCTGCTTTTAATTGTGTCAGTAATCCTCTCTCTGAGGATGTGTACAACAAAACGGCTTCTCTTGTTCCGCCTCTTGGGCTAAGAATTCAACCATTCATTTCTGCTGCCGGCATTGAGCTGGACAATATAGCTTCTTCACGTCTTCTTTGTTCTCCTCCTTGGCAATTAGTGAGGCCACAAGTTGACCACACACTGGCGAAGTTTACGAAAGCAGAAACTAATGAACTACAATATAAACAAGAATATAATCAATTAAAAAGTACATATAATACATACCAAACCTTATTTACAGATGGATCCAAGGATGGTGGCGCAGTGGCATGTGCACTGTAATTGGATCCAGAACAATATCTTCTTGACTATCAAATAACAGCAAACGCCATATTAACAGCTCTTCAATATATTAATAAACACCTTAAATATAGACAATACAAAATATTTTCCGATTCTCTTTCGTGTCTTCAGTTTATTAAAAATCTTTCTCGTAAACATCAACTTTTAATCGAAATTATTGAATTATACAATGAGCTTGCTACTGGCCAATGCGACATCGTCTTTGTTGGCTACCCAGCCATGTTAGCATTTCTGGGAATACAATGGCCGATCACTCAACAAGTCTGTGACACCACTTCTTCTTCCTTACTCTGATTACAAAGCTAGCATTAGAACTTACATCCGTGATCTGATGCAAAAGAATGACTGACTGACTGAGTTTGGTTTTACGCCGCTTTTAGCAATATTGCAGCAACATCACGGCGGGGGGCACCAGAAATGGGCTTCACACAATGTACCCATATGGGGATTCGAACCCGGGTCTTCGGCGTGACGAGCCAACGCTTTAACCACCAGGCTACCCCACTGCCCTGATGCAAAAGAAGTGGGACACCCAAGTAGGTATTAACAAATTACACGCAATAAAATGAACTATCGGTTTCACCTACTTGGTTTGTCAGTCCAGATTTGAAGAGGTCATCATTCGACGATGTCGTATTGGCCGCACAAGATATACTCATGAGTACCTATTAAAAGGTGAGGATCGTCCGTTTTGCATCCCTTGTGATGAAAGAATCACGGTCAAGCTTGTCTTGCTTGACTGTGTTGAATATTCCATCACAAGGGGTATATATTTCAAATCACGAACTATGAAGGATCTTTTTAATAATGTCGGTTCTCATTTAATTATTGCATTTTTAAAAGAATTAGATTTATTTAATGATTTGTAAATAGATAAATGGTATTTTAAACATGGTAGTATAAATTAGTCACTGCCATTGTTAGTAGCTGTATCCTCGAAGGGGGTAAAAGTATAGTAAAATTTTTGTCCTCCTGAGCGGGTACGTAAGTCCCAAAACTTTCAAATTAAATTTTTGCTTACCCGATTTTTATACGTAGTATATTTGTTCCTTTAAAATTCGACTAAACTTTTTCCCAAAATCGCCAGCAGCTGAAGGGATGGTGTAAATCCAACTAGGGTCCATGCAGGTAGCAAAGGTACTGTAAGTCCCCATGGTCCCTAGTATGGTGATCTACCTCCAGTTGTTGGCGATCTATAGCCTATTTTTATATTGTGTTGTCCCTATAGTTGAAATGTTTTAGATTTACTTACCAGTTTTACATGTATATCTGTGATATTTTAGTTGTTTTACTGTCCTTCGTCGGCAGGTTTTAAAATATAGTAATATTGTCGATGCAATGAAAGTTTAACTCACTCATTCACTCATTCACTCATAGCCTCTGCAATTAACTACTATTCTCATTGCATGAATACAGTTGAAACCGTAACATTTATCCTCTGTCCCATAATCAAACCGCTGATCTGAGAAAGATAAAGGCACTTACTTTCCGGTCCAGAATTATATTATGTCCACCATCTCACATGGGCTTGTCACGCTAAGGAACAGCGTTAGAAAGACATATAGGTATATAGACCCTACCCTAGCACTATATAAAAGGAAAGGGATGTAACGACGGAACCACCCCCTCCTCAATCAAAGTTAGATTGACCATGTAAACTATTTTAAGGCCCCGTCGAGGCCTACGGATCGAAAGCGAGATGATTTCCCTACAAAATGAACTATAAATGGTCACAACCAGATCAGTATTTCCAAAGTTACACGCCACGACTCACCGAAAACAGCTACAGGGGGTAAGGGGTTACTGACTTTGCCTACAGTAGTGGATGGGTGACCAGATTTAACCAGCGACATGGAATTAAGACGCACAAAATTCATGGTGAATCAGCCTCAGCCCGACAGAGTTCTGTAGACGCAGGTAGAGAAGAATTGCAGCAAATCCTGGCTGAATACAATCCGTGTGACGTCTACAACTGTGGTGAAACTGGCTTGTTTTACAAAATTGAACCCAATACCACACTGAGCACTTGTCCTATGTCTGGCAAGAAACAAGCAAAAGATCGTCTTACTGTTATGCTTGTGGTGAACGCATCAGGCACTGACAAACCTTAACCACTGGTAATATGGAAATTTAACAGGCCCAGATGTTTTGGTAGAACTTTTGATCCTAATTCTGTGTGCCACTGGTATTCAAACAAGAAGGTTTGGATGACAGCACTGATCTTCAAAGACTGGCTTGTGAAGTTTGATAGGCACATGCGCAGACAGCGACGACAAGTGATATTGCTGATTGACAAAGCCCCTTCCCATGCCTCCGTAGATCTCACCAACGTAAAGCTTCACTATCTGCCTCCGAATACAACATCCCACATTCAGCCCCTAGATGCAGGAATCATAAAGAATTTCAAACTTCTTTACAAGAAGCAGCAGATGAAACTTCATCTTGACAACGCCAGCACAGACACGCCAGTACCACTTGATATCAAGCAAGCCCTACTGTTTATCCGATCAGCGTGGAGAGATGTAAAACAACCAACGATCATCAACTGCTGGCGTCATGCAAAAATCCTGCCACCTACTGACAGCCAGATCGAGCCCGATAATGAACCAACTGAAGACGTCCGAGATTTACAGGAAACTCTTGACAAGCTATACCCGGATGCACCCGTACCTGTCAGTGACTTCATAGAATTAGACGCAAATCTGCCATGTGAGGAAGCCATGACAGAAGATGAAATCATCGAGATTGTCCGACCTACTGCTGAAGAAGAAACAACAATCAACACTGAAGAAGACCAGACAACCGAGCCAGTCATTCCCAAGCTACCTCAGGTCAAAACATTGCTGAACACTTTACAGACATTTGTGACATACAACTTAGACGTGTTTGATGTGAGTGACCTGGACTTCATCGACACGTTGAAAACTAAAATGCAGAAGACCTCAGAAAAAAATGAACAACAAAAAACCCTCAAAGACTATTTCAAATTTTAAATTATTGTTCACCAGACATCCATATGTTACTGTGGAACTAGTTGTATGCAAACAGTGACTCATTCAACATCCGGGTCATAATGGCTGCTGAGAGTGAACTAGCGACGACTGGTAAAAACAAACGTGAGTTTTGTGCCAATGTGATTTTGAAATCGATACGAAACTGATTGATTATGTGATTTTATGTGTACATGTATGTTATGCCATCTATGATTGTTAATAAATGATATCAAGGATGTATTGTTATATTTTTTATTACTGAATGTTTTTACAAACGAAGACGATAACCAGATCTACAATTTCTGATATTTTCTGACATTTTCATTAATCCGACATTTTCGTTAATCCGACATATTTCTCTGCAACCACAAGTGTCGGATTAACAAGAGTTGACTGTACCTCCGCAATTCCAAGCCAAAATCATGGATCACCCAAGACAGCGAAAGCTCACCTTTTAAATTCGTTTATTAATTCCAGCCACGTTGACAGCACCTATCTAGGGCTAGATTCGATTGGCAGCGGCATTCCACGGGTCTAAACCCTTATTGCAACATCTACAAATCATTTCCTTGACAGTAAGCAGGCACTTTCTCCAAAACCATCGGCAATCATACTCACTTGTCGGCCATAGATGGCTTTAAAAATAGTTTACGTGGTGAAATCTAACGTTGATTGAGGAGGGGTAGGTTCCGTCGTTACATCCCTTTCCTTTTAAATAGTACTAGGGTAGGATTAATATACCTATATGTCTTTCAAACGCGGTTTCTAAGCATGACACGCCCCTGTTCACCATCTTCATTCCTATTCCCTTCAAAATTGTGATCCAAGATGTATAACGAGTAAAAACATTGTGTTACAGCACCATCTCTGTGCGACCTCCATAATGCCTCAAAGTCCGGCGAACTGTCAAAGGTGAAATTCGTCTTGTCACAGGAACAGGCAGACATTGATTGCAAAGACCGGATTGGTAGAACACCTGTGATGTGGGCAGCTGGTATGGGACATATAGATGTGGTTGAGTTACTTGTGACTAAAGGGGCTAACTTGTCACTCGTTGATAGTCTCGGGGTCAACATCCTTCACGCAGTCTGTCTGGGTGGATATGTAGAGGTGGTGAAGTATGTCCTCTCCCAGGCAGAGTTCGTTGCGGGAGAACACCTGTGATGCTGGCGGCAGAGAAAGGACATAAAGAAGTGGTGGAGTTACTAGTTGGAAAAGGGGCTGGTGTGTCACTCGTTGATACAAGAGGTAACAACATCCTTCACTGTGCCTGTAGGGGAGGGGATGTTGACGTGGTGAAGTACATCGTCTCAAAGAAAATGGTTGATATCAACAGTAGGGAATGGAAGAACAAGACATCTTTAATGGTAGCAGGCCTGTGGGGACATAAAGCAGTGGTAAAGTTACTCGTAAAACAGGGAGCTAATCAGTCACTCAGGGATAAACGCGGCGACAACATCCTTCACTTAGCCTGTCAGGGAGGACATGTGGAAGTAGTGAAGTACATCATCTCGCTCGACACGACTGATATCAACTGTAGAGGTTGGAGGAAAAGGACACCAGTTATGTGTGCAGGACGACATGGACATAAAGGCGTGGTTGAGATACTCGTTAACAATGGAGCTAATCTGTCGCTCAGAAATTCACGTAGTAACAACATCCTTCACTTTGGATGTCAGGGGGGACAAGTGGAGGTGCTGAAATATGTCCTGTCTCAGAACACGGTGGACATCAACAGTAGAGGATATGGCAACAAGACACCAGTCATGGTAGCAGGGAGAAGGGGACATAAAGATGTGGTTGAGTTACTCGTAATGCATGGAGCTAATCTGTCACTCAGGGATAAAAGCGGTGACAACATCCTTCACTATGTCTGCACGGGAGGACGAGTGGAGGTACTGAAATATGTTCTCTCACGGAAGACGGTGGACATCAACAGTAGAGGATCTAAGAACAGGACTCCAGTGATGGTAGCAGGGCGAATGGGATATAAAGACACGGTTGAGTTACTCGTTGATCACAGAGCTAATCTGTCACTCAGTGATGCACGCAGTGACAACATCCTTCACTTAGGAAGTGCATGGGGACATGTGGAGGTGCTGAAATATGTCCTCGCACGAGACACGGGTGATATCAACAGAAGAGGAAATGACAACAAAACACCAGTTATGGTAGCAGGAGAAAGGGGACATAGGAACGTGGTTGAGTTATTCGTAATACATGGAGCTAATTTGTCACTTAGAGATAGAAGCGGTAACAACATCCTTCACTTAGGATGTGCAAGGGGACATGTGGAAGTTCTGAAATATATCATCTCACAGGCCACAGTTGACATCAACAGTAGAAGAAATGATAACAGGACACCAGTGATGATAGCCGGACGATGGGGACATAGGGACGTGGTAGAGTTACTCGTTGATCACAGAGCTAATCTGTCACTCAGAGATGTACACGGTTACAACATCCTGCATTTAGGATCTTATGGAGGACATGTGGAGGTACTGAAATATGTCCTGTCACAAGACACGGAAGATATCAACAGTAGAGGAAATGACAACAAAACACCAGTGATGGTAGCAGGAGAAAGGGGACATAAAGACGTGGTTGAGTTATTTGTAAAACGTGGAGCTAATTTGTCACTTACAAGCAAACAACATACTTCACTACCGGGAGGACTTGTGATGGAAATATATCCTCTAGCACTGTGGACTAGAAGAAATGATAACAGGACACCAGTGATCATAGCCGGACGATGGGGACATAGGGACGTGGTAGAGTTACTCGTTGATCAGAGAGCTAATCTGTCAATCAGAGATGTACACGGTTACAACATCCTGCATTTAGGATCTTATGGAGGACATGTGGAGGTGCTGAAATATGTCCTGTCACAAGACACGGAAGATATCAACAGTAGAGGAAATGACAACAAAACACCAGTGATGGTAGCAGGAGATAGGGGACATAGAGACGTGGTTGAGTTACTCGTGAAAAAAGGAGCTAATCTGTCACTCAGAGATGCACGCAGTAACAACATCCTTCACCTGGCCTGTCGGGGAGGGCATGTTGGTGTTGTGAAATATGTCCTGTCAGAGGGCACTGTTGACGTCAACGCGAAGAACGACAAGGGAGAGTCAGCTGCCACAATAGCGACAACACTTGGACGACAGCACGTTCTGGAGGTTCTTCTGTCACACGGTGTTAACATGTAACAGGTACAATAAATAAATGACTGAACGAATGAATGAAGAACAGGCACCGTCACTGAGGTTAATGAATTACTAACGTGTTGCGTACATACATGTACATACATACTGAAATATTGACAAGTGAAGGCATACTGACGATTTGAATCCCTACGTGGGTAAAACTATAATGACGACTTCAATACATACATGTGGTACAGACACATTCAGGGCTTGAGGGCACAGAAAAAAGATATATTGACGTTAACAAAGATATGTAGTGTTAAAGATATACTGACGACTTGAATACAAACCAGTGGTGCAGAAATATTGACGAGTTCAATCCCCAGATGAGTACTGATATATTGACGACTTGAACACATCTGGTAGAGACATAATAATGAGTTCAATCCCCAGATGAGTGCAGACTTATGGACGACTTGATCACATCTGGTAGAGACATAATAACGAGTTGAATCCCCAAATGAGTGCAGACATATGGACGACCTGATCACATCTGGTAGAGACATAATAACGAGTTGAAACCCTTGATAAGTACAGACATATTGACGGGTTGTAGACATACATGTGGTAAGGACATATTGACCATTAGAGTACATGCATGTGGTACTGACATATTGACGAGTTGAATCCCAACATGAGAACAGACATATTTACGATTGAATATATACATGCTGTAGAGATATCTTGACATCAGGAACAATATATGTGTGTAATGAAAGCACATGTCAAAGACATATTAACGTGAAACATACATTCACTGCGGTGACACGTATAATGGTGTTTTGAAAGCATATATGTGGTACACGCTCTTTAGCATTAGAAACAAATATCCACAAGATACAATTTGATATATACTAGGCATCATTAATAAAGGGTCAAGTGATATATAGCTTATGTAAAGAAAAGGTTCTCAGGAATAATAGAACTAAGAGTGTCATCATAATGCTTAATGTGTTGACACATCCTGACATACGGGCAAAAAGTTCAAACAGCACTAGCAAACATCAGTTGTATAGACCAACCCCAAAAATGAAAATTACAAACATGAAACACTTGTTCATTCAATATCTTGCGTACCCTTCTCGTGCGTCCAAGACACAGGTGCAGCCTTGTTGTCATGCTCCTTATCAAGTTCATAAAGGAAGCTTGCATTCCATTCCTCTACTATAGCTCTACGGACTTCTGGGAGATCCAATGGTGCTGGGTGACGTGTACACACGCCGACCGAGTTCATCCCAGGCATGCTCAATTGGGTTGAGGTATGGCGAGCATGCTGGCCACTCCATCCGCTCTACACCCTACTAGCTAAGGAATTCCGAGACAATCCTTGCCCTATGAGGCCTAGTGTAGTCCTCTTGCAGTAAAGAGGGTCGACCATAAAAGCCATGCATAGCTTGCAGGAATGATACTGCTGTAGGACTGCCATAACGCTGTCCGGTAGGATTACCTTCAACCACGTGCTGTGGAGTACGTCCAGTAGGAGTTATCCCTGCCCAAACCATGATCGATCCCCCGCGAAATCGGTTATGCGTGGCCACTGTGATTCGCTTTCCATTGCGACGATAAATCCTAGTGGTTAAAGCGTTCCCTTGTCACGATTCCCAACATGGTTACAATGTGTGAAGCCCATTCCCGGTGTCTCCCGCCATGATATTGCTTAAATATTACCAAAAGCGTCGTAAAACTAAACTTACTCACTCACTCCTTTGTGAAGAGCACACGAGACCATTGACGTTGATTCCAGCGGCCATGATGTCTACGCCATCTCAAACGCACCTGCCTGTGACGTGGCATCAGTGGTGGACGTAGCCTGGCTGCCCTTAGACGTCGACGAACCGTGCTCCTGGATATCCTCACATTGTTAACATTGAAGTTTTCTGTCTGAAGCTCTGCTCCGTTAAATTATCTGTTACGTAACGCAGTGTTAATCACGTGTCTATCATCTCGGACTGTTGTGACTCTGGGGCGACCTGGTCGAAGTGCGTATTCCACTGACCCATTGGCTTGAAATCTCTGCCACAGTCTACCAGTTGCACTCGGACTCGCATTGACAATTTGAATAAAAATGTTCCAAAAAAAGAACGTTAAAGAAAGTAATAATGACATTTCAACGGTCGGATGTGTTTTTTCTATACTGTTAAGAAAGTTTGTAAGACATTCATTTGTATATATATATATATACTCATAGAAACGAATAAGGGAACATATGCACTCCTTTCCATGAGTACATTTCAAACAAAAAATTGTTACCTATAGCTTGGCCTTTCATTAATGACGTCGAGTATATATCAAATTGTATCTTGTGGATATTTTATATTTTTTTCTAATGTTACAGAGTGTGTACAACATATATGTTTCCAAACACCATTGTATGAGTCACCCCAATGCATATAGTTCAAGCCACCTGTGCAACACTTGTTTGTGCTTAGAGAAGTTTTTAACCAGTCCTTTCATGGGTTTTTTCCTTCTTTTTTTACAGGTATACGCTATTGTAAAACGAAACAAATCTCCAACTGTTAGTTGACAATTTAAGTTAGCCTTCGTAGTGACAATTAGCGCCATCTGCCCATCAAACTTGATTCCGACAAGTCAGCGAGCATCTCGTTGAAAACCAGCGAAATCCTCTCAAATTCAAATTTTCGATCAGATTGTGCTCAACAGAAGCTTTCACGTTGCATGTTCCTATATGAGTGTATAATCATGTACAATTATGTAGTATAATATTCAACAACTGGCGTGGACACATTACGTTCAGTTTAAGTACTCAAAACAGCGACGACCACTACTTTTTCAGGCACATTACATTTAACGCAACAACAACTGCTCCCTTCCTAGTGGCAGCGCAGCAAGTGAGGAATGGGCAACTGAGTTGTAAAAGACTTCATTCAAAGGATTAACCGATAATGCGTTGATTGATGATTACTGTTATGTACATGTATGTAGGTTTACTATTTTGTAGTTTGTAATGTGCATTATAATGCTGTTCACTGACTATCTTAACATGTAATCATCAATTAACAAAACTGTTGGCTGTACCTCTTAATTGTATATTCTTTGTTATGATCTACCGCTTCGATCCTCCGATATGTACGAGAATTACAAAACAGTCGAAATTATAGTATAAATTGTGATTTCCAGAAATAAAGGGCGATCCATATTTCAACATGTTCAAACTTGGAGTTTTGTTTCCTTACGAAGTGTGATGTTGTCCCCAACTAGTTACGGTGTACAAACGATAAAATATAAGCACTTGAGTAATCCACCTTGTCTTATAACAACTCTACCCATATATGCTGTTGTTTATGGAGATAAAGGTATACTGATTCTTCAGCACAACTTCTGTTGTTTATGATCAGACAGAAATATGACAGATTATGGATTCTTTGCATGTAAACATATGCTTATGGATGTTATCCCTGCCTTGGGACAGTGTAGTCTTGTGTTTCAGAAGGGAGATCTGGATGCTGCTGCCATCACCCTTGTTTTGTCTGCTTAAGGATAGCATCAAGAACGCAAGAACAGGAAAGATACATTACCAGAGATAATTTAGGAATGGACTGAGAGTCAGTGAAGTTGAAATCAGAAGAAAGTTGTGTTTCAGGGTGCCGTTGTACAAAACAACCATAGTGCTGAGACTACATTAAGTATATGTTAATGTATGGCAGTTGTGGTCACCGTAGCGCTAAGATCGCTTGTACAACAACATCCTGGAACAGATTGTATCTTTCTCATATTCAGATCACCAGAAATCCTACACAGAGTCATTGCTTGACAATCTGGACAACAACCTGAACAAACGTTTCCCACCAGACAAACACCAGTGACAAAATCATTTGAAGGGTTGGTTTAAGAGCCCTCTGCTAACTTACAACTAGTGCGTAACTATAAATATATATTACTATAAACAACAATACATCCTAAAAACGGGCTATAGATCGCCAACAACTGAAAGTAGATAACCACGCTAGAGACCACGGGACGATGCTGCTTTTGCTACCTGCATCGATTCTAGATGGATTTAATCCATTCCTTCAGTTGTTAGCGACTGTATGCAAAGTTAGCCATTTATTTAAAATCGACATATATACTGCGACTAAGAACTGTGGTATTGCCATATACATATTTGAAACATGTGGGCTTGCATACCCTCTCAGGGGGACAATGTTTTGCAACACTTCAACCCCCAACAAAAAGGGCATGTCCACAAACAATCTCAGTTAAAAATAATATTCTACCGTTTCATAAAATATGTAACTATATACATAAGCAAATATGGATTAATTCTATTCCTGTTTAAAAGCACAATATCAAAGGAGAATTAACATTTTTAAAAGATCCTGGATCGTTCTGACATTGAAATATTTTTCAATTGAGATGTAAATATCAATACAGTGAAGCAGCGCATGACACGTACCAGGTTAGACAGTTTTAAAGACTGCTGCGATAAGTCACCATTTTGTCGCATAGGTCACACAGACCCATTTAACGACTTCAACTGGAATCTCTCTGGACAAGACGAATTTGCTGACAATCCAGCGTCTTGTTTTCTAATGTTTAAACATGGTAGCATTTTCTGTTGTAACTGCAACTCGGTTATCTCAGGGTTTTCAGATATTTAACGTACCAATTACCAGTAGTTTATTTCCAAATTGTCTTTTTCCTATATACCGTTTAAGATTTGTTTTGGTTTTCATCAATATGGAATTAAACTAACATTTTATATACAGTTTAAGATTAATTTCGGTTTTCATCAATATGGAATTAAACTAATATTTTTTTTCATCTATAATAAGTCTCAAAATGTATACAAAAATGACTCAAATACATCTTAAACTGAAGAATCCGTGACAAGTACTAGCATCCTTTGGTGTTCACGGTGTCTACCAGTTGTTTGAACATGCATGCAAACCTTGCTGTCAGTACCCCTGGTGGAATGAGTGAGTTTAGTTTTACGCCACACTCAGCAATATTCCAGCAATATGGCGACGGTCTGTAAATAATCG